CCTTTTTAAAAAAGGTTGATCTAAAATGATGATTTGCGTTTCTAAATTCTCTTGGAATTTTCCTTTCAAAAATCGAAAAATTTATTTTTTCATTCACGTAATTTTACTGGTGCCTGATCCTGTCGAAAATGATAAATTATGAATTAAAAGATCATAGATAATAAGTTCATCTATAATTTTCTTCATTTTATTTTCGTATTCTTCTCAGCAAATCCTTTCATTTGATACCCTTATCATGGGGGTGCACAAAAAATAACTGTTCCGCCATCTTTGGGAGTCCGCCATATTGGATTTAAAATGACGTCACTTAGCTAACCATGCATTGTCATCCAAACTAAACGTGTATGCAAAATTTCAGCTCAATCGGTTGGGGAAACTGTTTTAAAATTCAATTGCAAAATGTGACTCATACTAACAAGGCAATTTAAATAAAAAGCTTGTAAAAATATGACAAATGGCACACGAAAAAGGTGCATGTTCATAGAAAAAACAATTTGAATTAGAAACGCTCGTTTGGAACGCGAAGAGACACTAAAACGCTAGCTATTGTATAACTAAGGCCTCTTACTATAGTAAATCGGCCGTACATGGAAGCACAAAAAATGACTCAGAACCCCAAACCGGAAAAATCCGGTGGTTTTCTCTTTTGATATATGAAATTGACACTCCTGTCCGCATTTTCCAACTTTCAATAGTGCAGGATCTCTTGGGATCACAACTATTTCGATAATTTACGATTGATGTGATTTGAAATCGATGGAAATTGCAAGACGTTTTTGTTAAAACAATAAAAACATGTAACTTTCGAAAAATGAGGTTCTAAATGAGCAAATGTATTCTACTTAACTCCAGGAACACCTTCTCTATTGCATACAATGGTTCGTACTCTAGTAAAAATTTGCACGTATTTTCAATTCACCGCTTTTCGAGGGGTCAGTGGCAAGTGAAATATGCTAATGTGTGTGGTCTATACACACGTGCCAGCTCTCTGTAACTTTAAAGAACTACGCAATGACTCCTTCTCTAGCATATTTTGAAGTATTAACGCAAACCAACGACTTTGAAATTTCAACTTTTGTCCAGTTTTTTCGGAATTCCGACCACTGTGCGGCGTTATGCTAGAACTCTGGAATCTGAGGAAATGGTCCTGATAGCAATAGAAAATAATATGTTAAGTACCCCACAAATTTCTAGAAATTTAAACATATCACAGTCATCTGTTTGGAGAACACTTCGCGAACAACAATTGCACCCTTATCATTTTCAACGTGTTCAACATTTACTACCTCGAGATTATCCACCAAGACTATAGTGGTCACGATGGCTGCTTGGCAGGCTTGCAGAGAATCCCAATTTCTCAGCGAATATCTTATTGACAGATAAAGCATCGTTTACGAGACGAGGAATAATTAACTTCCACAATACTCATTTATGGAGCGACGAAAATCCTCACGTCATTCGAATAACAAATTTTTAACATGAGTTTTCAATTAACGTTCATTATTGGCGACACGCTCATTGGTCCTTTTAGGCTACCACATAGACTAGATGACAAGTCTTACCTTAATTTTTTTAATGAATGATTTGAATTTAGATGAAGTATCACTGGATGTGCGGAGGAGCCTTTGGTGCCATTATGACGGCGCTCCGGCACATTTCGCTCGACAAGTAAGAGATTATAGGTCTGTTCCAACAAGAGTCAGGGATTAGTTCCAAACCGTCGAAATGTTTAGCCAGCTAAGTTGTAAATGTGTCTTCAGTGAATATATCGCTAGAATTAGTTGGATGCACATTTCGAACGGTTTGGAACTAATCCCTGACTCTTGTTGGAATAGACCTTATTTTAAATATGACATACTCTAGACTCTAGACATAGAGCAAGGGTCGGCAACTGGCGGACCGCGGTCCAGGTCCGGACCGCAAAAGGTAAAATACTGGACCGCCAAAAATTTTTTGAAAGTATAAATTACTCAAATAAATTATTTAAAAAATGTTTTTTTTGCATTTGAGTGACAACCTTATCATTTTTTCTAGTATTTTACAATTGTGAGTGTTTCGAGTTCTTAATGGTTAGTAAGCAGATTAGATTTGAGTTCAAATGAAAATTTGTAAGAAATATAAAATTTTTTTCTGGACCTCGTTAAAAATTTTTAAAAGTATCCGGACCCCACCTAAAATTACTTGCCGACCCCTGCTCTAGACGGTGGATTGGACGTGGTGGCTCAATCCAGTGGCCTGCCCGTTCACCGGGATTAAATCCTCTGGATTTCCACACTTGAGGTCATGTTAAGGAGATGATTTATGTAACTCCAGTAAATTTGATCGATGAATTATGGCAACGAATTTAACAAGCCTTTCAAACAATTCGTAATACGCTCGGGATTTTTGAAAGAATAAGAAGATCCTGTGTGTCGAATTACAAGGTGGTCACTTCCAGCACCTACTCTAATATTTTACATTATTTCCAGTTATACAATTTTTATCATTACGTTTTCACCCTTAAAGTTGTTTATTGTTTACGTTATTTCATTCTGACAAAATTAGTTGAAACCTAAATTACTAATTCGATAGACAATTGAACACTTTACACGAAAATAGTGCCCGTTTGACAAAATTAGCAGTGGCGTAGAAAATAATATTTTAAAAAAAGGGTCACATTGNTTAAAAAATCAACATTTATATCCCCACCAAAAAGAATATAATCAAAACATGGCAAAAAACTAACAATGGTATTTTCAAGCTCATCTATACAGTTACTTAGATTGACATCAGGAGGTCTATATAATGATCCCAAGCAAAATGTTTTACCTTCTATTTTTACACTGATCCAAATTTGTTCAAGCTGACTATTAGAAGGTGGTATAGCTAAAATATTAAATTTTAAGGAGTTTTTTACATAAAAGGCAACACCACCACCTCGTTCATTTCTATCCTTCCTAATTAAGTTATATCCAGGTACAGTTACCAGACTGTCTGCAATATTTACATGTAGCCAAGTTTCAGATAAACCTAAAACATACAGTTGCTCCACTGTGACAAATTCCGAGAATACATTAAAATTAGAAACCAAAGCACGCGTATTGAAATGAGAAAAGTAAAGTATTCTTTATCGTTTAACATGAAAAACTGTGTAATACAGAACCCCGTCCACCTGCATAATACAAAAAGGAAAAAAGAAAAATGAAAAATATAATAGTGATGATAGATAGCAAATATAACATTATTAACCTACAAACTCATCATAATTATTACGTTTATTATATGTACGATGTATTCATATTTAATAATTTAATATACTTATATAATTTAGCACAAAGACCAACAGGAAATTTAGCCGCGGTAAATCATATTTGTGACTTATTTCTACGTTTTAATAGTTGCTTTTTCATTAGTACTATTATTTGAATAGGATTTAATCTGAAAGTAGATTTAAATAAACTTGTTTAATCATAATTTAGAGAAAAAGTTAGAAACAATTTTCATTATCTTAACACTTTTATCGTAAAGTAAGAGAAAATTATCATCATAACAGTGATAAGAATCTCTAGTAATATATTCTGTTACTTAAAATACAAAATATAAAATATAAAATAAAATGTTTTTTCGGGTGCTTAATAAATAGCCCGGAAAACCATGTTATTAACGATAAGGGCCGTAAAAACTATAAAACCACTATGTTCTATTATTTGGCAAATTGTTAGTTGTTAAGCTCTGATCCTAAAGCTGTATGGTTAGTAAAATGACTAAGCACAATAATAGATTTGAAGTTGATGTGTAATATTTTAATATAAAATAGTTATAGGTTCAAAATTGGACTCTACTAACCGATCGATTTAAATTATTTAAATTGCTACAATAAATAAATAATTTTTAACATTAGATATTATTCTAAGAGCCGATTAATAAGAATTCATTAGATTATAGGCCTTTGTAAGTGAAGATTGTACAAATGCCCTTCTATGCCAATGTTTTATTAACATTCTTGTTTCAACGTTAACTTAATAACTTAATATGACTTATCGAACGTTGTCATTTATAGGAATCGAAGAAAACAGGTATGGCTATGTTAAAGTTTAATATTTTACATATTAAATCGACACCATCTTTACCGAGATATTTAATAATTTAAATGAGAAAAACATGCCGTGTTTCATTTAGTCCCCAATTCTGTTTTGACCTCCCGAAAGAACGGGAACGTCATTAATAAATTAGTATTAGAGAATGCGACTTAATAATATAAATCCGTGAAATATTGTAATACATCACATCGATACTTCTTAATTATTCATGTGCTAAGACAACGAGTAGATAATTGTTCTTACTTTATTTATTATTTAGGCACGAGTTTCGTTTAATTGATATTTTGTTCTCAGCTCGTTATCAACAGGCCTTAATGCAATGTCTGCGGTAGTCCTGGAGGATTTCTACAAGCCTTTCTTTCACAAACAATTAACTGAAAAGCAGACTTATATAATGATGAAGTTAACTGTTATTATCATGGGAATCTTCTGCGTAGGCATGGTGTTTGTAGTCGAAAAATTAGGAGCTGTTCTACAGGTAGTACAAAATATTAGTGACCATCAGTCATGTTATATGACAAAATATTTTATTTAGGTTAACATGACATACTTTTCTTTCTAAGTTACACATACGATATCAGAATTTTCATTAATATGGTACCAACCAATAGCTCTATGTCTCAAAGATTGGAACGGGAGTACATTTTTTGGTCAATAATTTGAAATACTACCAAAGGTGTAGATTTTAAGCTTGGCGTAGTGTAAATCCCAGACACAGTTACCTACTTGTCGAAATTAACTGGAGCTTATAAATGTTAAAAATGTTTTGACTTTAAAGGGAAACTAAAGTTCAGTCAATTCCAATCAAAACTTTTGTAACCAGCAGGGTTTTCTCTTTATCCATCGTTACAGTATCGTAACGACATCAACTGCGAAAAGGAGCTCATCGATTATCATTTACACTTTCAGACACGTTCAGACAATGAATTTCAGGCACTGACCGTTCTTTTGCTCACATAGCGTTTAATCCATGGGTTGGTCACTTAATACAAGACACACCAGCACTACTTTAGGAAGGTGTTTAATAAAAATGTATAAAATTGAACAAACAACACAACTGTAGCACAACGAATTCAAATAAACAATATCAATTACTATTTTGCACCCGACAAGGTGATGCAATTCAATCAAGATATTAACTATTAATGAATTAACCCCGAGACTCTAAAGTTAATAGACCGGACTGTGTGGAAACCCAAGGAGAACTGCCTTTACGGGGATCTCATTGTATTTCGACACTTTTACTTCAACTCCGCTCATTTTGGGTTTGGGAGTCTTGTTATCTTATTTGCCAATTCAAACCTTTAAGGGCAACAATGCCGCCTCCTTCCTTATGCCTCGGTACTTGCTATCTTGTCGGTTCGATCCCTCTCATATTAAGAATTATGCAACGAAACTGAATTTACATATAACTCTATTTTTACCTCGCCGTACGCCTCTGAAGGAGGGAAGCCTTCGTTGACCTAAATCTCTTTTTTTTTTTTGAAATAGAAATGACTTCGGAAGAGTTCTCATAATTTCGGCGTTAATTGCCTTAAATCATTATGACAAAGTATGGCGGTGTTTTGGATTTCCTTCGTAAATTCCGTTCTATTTGCTCGGGTCTGCCTAAGAAGCCCGTGATGAACAAATATCGATTTTTGCCTTCTTTTTGTCCCGAAAAGATGCTTACCAGAACGCGATAACGTTTTTTGAGTTAACTTGTTCAAAATCCTTTCGAATTTTATGGTTTACTTGTTCTGATTACCAAGTTTTATAAAATTATTACTTTTGATGACAAAAGTTTTGCAGGAACAACCTTCTTAATGATTTTATCTAGCGACTCTAAAATCCACTTGAAACACCTTATCTGTCAGTACTTGTTACTTAGATGAGGCTAATATTTGTTAAATTATTATTAGGTTCCAAATCGTTCCAAAAACTGACCAATAAATTATAACGTGTTTTGGCTTTTGTTACACTGTTATGAATGAGTTTTTTTTTNCCCAGACACAGTTACCTACTTGTCGAAATTAACTGGAGCTTATAAATGTTAAAAATGTTTTGACTTTAAAGGGAAACTAAAGTTCAGTCAATTCCAATCAAAACTTTTGTAAGCAGCGGGGTTTTCTCTTTATCCATCGTTACAGTATCGTAACGACATCAACTGCGAACGGGAGCTCATCGATTATCATTTACACTTTCAAACACGTTCAGACAATGAATTTCAGGCACTGACCGTTCTTTTGCTCACATAGCGTTTAATCAATGGGTTAGTCGTACAGGGTGTTATACTCTCATTAAACGGGTCACTTAATACAAGACACACAGCACTACTTTAAGAAGGTGTTTAATAAAAATGTATAAAATTGAATAAACAACACAACTATAGCACAACGAATTCAAATAAACAATATCAATTACTATTTTGCACCCGACAACGTGATGCAATTCAATCAAGATATTAACTATTAATGAATTAACCCTGAGACTCTAAAGTTAATAGACCGGACTGTGTGGAAACCCAAAGAGAACTGCTTTTACGGGGATCTCATTGTATTTCGACACTTTTACCTCAACTCCGCTCATTTTGGGTTTGGGAGTCTTGTTATCTTATTTGCCAATTCAAACCTTTAAGGGCAACAAATAGTATAGTTGGAAATATTAATTTTCAAATGTAGTTACCAGTTCGAACAGTTCATATTTAGGGATATTGCAGTCTAATTAAACTTTTTTGATATTTTTTTAGGATAGGATTTTTTACGATTTATTTTTATTAACAACCTAAAATATAGCTTTATGAATTTAGTTTTGTGGTACTACTTTCACAGGGCTACTTTTTAATAGTGTCAAGTTGATACAAATTAGAAAACATTCAATTTAGTTATAAATTTGGCAAAAAGAAGTTTATTTACTTGAAATCCATTTATCTCAGTAACCATGCATTTTAAAGACATGCGACAAGTATATTTTTTTACAATAAATGAAGTGATATTTTAGAAAACAACTGCATTTTATTAAATTCTCTATCAATAAAAAAAAAATTATAAAAATATAGACATATTTTTTAATTAATTACTTTGTTTTGGTTTAAGAAGCTTTGCATAAAATTTGTACACCAAATTATGAATGCAGAACATTATACAAATATTCGATTATCTAGCAACTCTTTTTACCATATCTTAGTCATTTATAGATATAGAATCAAACATTATATCATTGTAATTCTAAGGAAGCGCACTGTATCTGAATATATAGCGCATTTAATGTAAGAGAAAGCCATGTCTTATTACTGCAGATACTTAGATAACGCTCTATTCA